AAAACGAACACTCCTAACTATTGAACCAACCCATATACATTTACTGACATTTCAACAGACACAGAGCTGGCAGACAACTATTGCTTTCCTATGGGCTGGGGCTTAAACTGAATCTCTTGAACAAGACACTGAATGTGTAGCGCTCATATACGGATATGGACTTTTTAATTATAATAGATACCATCAGTGTCACCTCTTGATCAGCCACTGTCTTATAATAAACACTCATGTCTCGTGCCTAACTCTAAACACACTAGGAAGGACATCCCATTGGACACAACTGAACTTACTTCTGAGGAAGCTTCCATAAGAGTGTGCTATTTAGGATGGAAGAAACAGGGAACATATTGTTGAATGGGGTTTCCTCTATCTTCCCATGAACCCTTCTAAACATCAGATAGTTGTTTATTTCTTTGACATCTGATGGGAGGGCGTTTCACTGGGCAGGCGCCACTACCAAGAAGGCCCTCTGCCTGGTTCCCTGTAACTTCGCTTCTTGTAGTGAGGGAACCACCCAGAATGCAATATGAATAATTGTTATATTGCAGTTCCCTGCTGGGAGCCCTACTGGTACAGGGCAGCTTTTAAAAGGAAAAAAAGTATAATGGATTAAATCCACTATTTGCTTCCTCACCTCTGTTTGCACATGGAGCTGATTTGAAAGGCCTTCCTTATCCTGTAGCAATCTTCTTTCGGAGTTCTTGAGCTTTGCTATTTCACTTCTAAGCTCTTTTTTAGAACCCGAGATTTCATCTAACAGAGTGAGGGTTTCTCTTTGGTGTCCTGAAGACTTGGGCATCTTTGCATTTTTGGTAGGAACTACATGGTTTATAGCAGCTTTGGGAACCAGGATTCGCACAGCTTCGATCTCCACGGCCGTATCCCCTTTTATCTTCCCTAGTTGAAGAACTCCAGGACTTAGTGAAGGAAGAGCTTTCTTGTGTGGGCTTCGATGGGCATGATTGGCTGTGGGCTGGATTACTTCAACAGATTTGGGAGGTTGCTCCATTTCCATGCCATCCCCAGGTCCACGGATGGGTGAGGTGGCATATTCAGCTGAAGCTTGGAGAAAGAAAGCAGAAAAGTGAATGCAAAAAAAGATATTTCGGTGAGATAAGTACTTGTCATTGGGTTGCGTCCAAAAGCTTCTGTTTCTTCATTGCATCCCCTCCAATGCATGCAACACTGTTAGTCAAGTTTTTAAAAGAAAATTGCATAACTAGACATAAGACCAATTTAAGAAATTGTTTGCTAGTTGATTTTAACAGTGGCCATATTTACACACTTAGTACCACCCCAAAAAATTATAGTTTGAAGCAGATTATCACTCAGATAGTGTGATACAATATAGCAGATTTATTTTTATTGATTTAATGTCTGAATATCTGTTAAGAAAGGTTTTGTATATTTGATATACTTGGCAATAAAAAATATTAAGTAAAAATCCTAAATGATTAGACTTTGCAATTACCATACATTTAGCCTCCCTCAAAAACCTACTTCTTGGTCTAAACAGATAGTTTTACCAAAGTCTTTCCTTTACAAATACGTGTAGAATGCATAGTTTAACATAACATTTGTTTTTAAAAAGGATGAACACTTACTGTTTACTGTATTCTGTAGTGTTGTCATCTTGTTGATGGAGCTTCACACACAGCAGGTAAACACTAAGCGGAGGAAAAAGAAAAATGCATAAAATCTCAGTTGCATATTTTAGCTGCTAATTCTTCTGAGAAATATGCCAAACCAGTAGTGCATCTTTTATCAAGCCATATTGGTCCAATCCAAAAAGGCAAGCACTGTTTAGAATCTTCCCACACACGTAACCGATGAGGGTGCAAATATACGTCCTAGCTGTGTTAATTCAGGATCCTTACAAATTGCTTGGCCACAACCTCTGTGGCTGTGAACAGCACAGTGACTGCTGTTATTCTAAGTACCTAACAGTTTGCTTGGTGAGTGAGACAGACCAGAAGTGATGAGCGGGGGGCATTAGAAACATGAAAAAGCAACAATAATGCAATTATCTAGCACAGTGCATTGCAGTTGCTGTAAAGAGCAGAAAAACAATTAACTGGACTACCAAGACATTCAACAATTTTCAAGTGGCCTGTGTGTGGGAAGCTTAGAAACCACTGCCTTCTACCAAATTAGATTATTGGTCCTTATAGTCAGGGGTGGTGCTAGGTTCTTCAAAGGTTTGGGGACCAGGCTTGTGACACAATTTTATTTTATTTTTTTTAAAAATATTGTGTTTCATCCATAGATATCAGGGTGATTTACAGTATAAAAAAGATAAAAACACAAAACACATAATAAAAACAAGAAAAACACATTTAAAAGGATACAGGATGCATACAAGTTAATATGTTAATTTATACATATAGATGCATATTTAGGTCAACCTCAGAAGGAGAACCACCCTGTAAGCAAAGTTTTCTTTAAAAAAGTTTGGGAGCAGGGAAGGAATAGAATCAACGCCACCTCTGTGCTCAGCATGCAGCTCAATATTGTCCATGACTGGCTGTGGATCTCCAGGGTTTCAGCCAGGGCCTGCATAGCTGCAAAAGGTAAATTACCCATACAGTTGGGCAAAATGTAAAGAGAGACGAAGAGGTTACTTTCAAACACTGCACCAGCTCTGGATTGGCCCAACACCATAGATTGGTGAGACACAAAAACTTAAGACACAGTGAGACTATTATTTTGAAACAGGAAGTTGACTAAGGCTGCAACGCTAATCATACTTAGGCAGCAACTTCCACAGAACTGAGGGGGTTTAATTTGAACAAACATGTTCAGAATCAGGCTAGCCAAGCTACTTCTTTTCCCCATCCTGCCTCATGACAGGTCTTTTCACCCATCAGAAACTGGCCCTTGAAGCTGTTGTCTAGAGTCTTACAGTTTTGGCATTGTTAATAACTGACAAACCCAAAGAGGCAGAAATTGTGCACTGGAAACTCAGAAACTAAGTTGTAGTGTCCTATACTAGAGATAAAATTATTTACCTGCAAAGAAGCAATAGGATGATGCTTCTTCCACAGGCTGTGTGCTACCACAAATTCAGCAAGTGTGTCAGATTTTCACTTTGTATCTTAAATCCCTTCAGCCTCATCTCACTGGAAGCCTACACTCCTATGCACATTTACCTGTGAATTAGTCCCATTTGAATTTACTGGGTAGGACAGATGTCAGTCCTGCAGGATCCACTTTTACTAAAAACCCTCCACCAGCTTGAGCCACGTGAAAACGACATGCATTTCAAAATTAAAAATTCTGACCCTGTGAATTTGTTTTGAGCACTAGAACTGAAGTGAGCTCACAATCCTCACACACTGATCTCTGCTCCCAAGTCTCTCCCAGTCCCCACTTCAGCACCATAATTTGGCATTTGGTTGTCATTCTTAAAACAGTTGGGAGTCAGAAATCCTCACCCATCTTTTCCACGCCTGCTAAAAACATTCCTGTTTAGACAAGCCTACCCAGATGTTTGGAAAGCTGAGGTAATTTTAATCTGTTTGAGTATTTTAACTTTTGCATGTTTTTAAAGTAGGGTATTCCCCCCCCCCTTGATTTCATCTTTTGCAAACCGCTTTGATCCCCCCCCTTGTTTACAGCCAAGAGGTGTATAAATTTTATGAAACAAAAAACCAACAAAAAACAAGCCCACCCAGAAGCCTCCCGGTAGATCCCGATCCACCTTCTGCCAACATCTGCTATGCAATATACACTGTGGCACAGTACTACGCCCGAATGAGAAAAAAACGATTCTGGCTACCCCGCAGTACACTTTTGATGAGATCTACTTCCCAGGATGGGCAGTTTGGGAAATGCAGCAGCAGCATAGCTGTCAACCTTTCCAGCTGCTATCCCGGATTGTTAGTTATCCCGTAGACTGTCCCCGGGACAGGTGAGGCTACTGATCCCTTATTTTCTAGGCTGTTGATCCCTTATTTTCAAATCTGAAAGTTGACAGCTATGAGCAGCAGGTTGCTTCGCTACGAGGGAATTTAACAACGCGTGAAATGTCATAGTTTCCTCCCACCCGCAGCCGCCCAGGCCGCCCCCGCACCGCACAACACTCCCTCGACTTACCAGCGGCCCGGATTACTTGCGAGTAGTTTCCCTTGTCGCCCCTCTCACTCCCTCGCCATCTCTCACTCGTCCGCCTTCTCTAATCAACTTCCGCTCTATTGACTTCCGCATATAGAGGCATATCTAATGGACTGGCGCACAGAGGTTAACTTCCGGATTGCTTTCGAACTCCACGACCTTCCCACGACGCGAGAGCCCCCCTAACAAAACCAGTTGGGAAGCCCCGGGTTTTAGTGTACCGTTGATTTGAGTGACATCCCTCTCCCCTGCCTATAATATAGTATAGTATAATATAATATAATATAATATAATATAATATAATATAATATAATATAATATAATATAATATAATATAATATAATATAAATGTATTAGCAAAGAGTTTGTTCTCTTTTCTAACTCAAGACTTATTTCCTTGGCAGAAAGGCAACAATAAACTTCAATCCCATTTGCAAAGCTAAGCAGTGTCCAGTACGGTTTCAAATTAGATGGGGCACCGCATGTTGAGATGCCTGCATTGCAGAGGGTTGGACTAGATGACCCTAAGGACCCCCTTCCAGCTATATGATTCTATTCCACATTTCTCTACCCCCCTCCCCTCATGGGCAGCTGTCACTTGGTATAGGAAGGTGAAGCGGGAGCGGGAGCTTCAAAAAGAATTTATGAGGCATGACCGCGAGAGAAGTGCGCATTTGTTTACTCTGAAATTTCCTATCTCTACGCTTCGGTGCAACTTCACAGCAATGACGTCCGCTTATGTTGCGCTCCGTATTTCAGTGGGGAGTAATAGCCTGGCTCTATCTACCGTCGAGGCCTAGAGCGGCGCTTACTCTGAGCCAATCGTGAGTCACCGCTAATGGCGGTTTCCCCCTTTCAACGGAAGTTTATTTTCCACCCCCGCGTCCTATGCGCGCGCCGGGAAAGAGGCGTGGCTTCGGTTGCTAAGAAGCGGTTTTGGTTGGCGAGCGGGCAGAGCTGGACCGTTTTGTTGTTGGAGGGAGCTGGTGCTGCTTGGGTTGAGGCAGAGGAGCGTGAAGGGCAGGCGAGGACGGTACCATGGTGAGTTCCGGGGTGGGGGGGTTGGAATGATGCATTAGCTAGTCGCCGTGTGTGTGTGTGTGTGTGTGTGTGTGTGTGTGTGTATAATGCTTCTGCAGTGACTCCCATTGAGGGATGGTATGTTAGCGAAGAAATGGTGCTTAATAGCTCCTCAGTGGGGGTGATTTTTTTTTTGGGGGGGATGTGTTGTGACGTCACTGATTACATTTATTTACATCCTGCCTTTCTTCTGAGAAGCTCAAGGCAGTGGCCGCTGTTATTCTTCTCCCTCATTTTATCCTCACAGCAACCCTGTGAGGTAGGCTAGGCTGGGGATGAGTGACAGGCCCAAGGCCACCCAGGAAAGCCCATGGCTGAGTGGTGGTGTAATAATAATAATAATAATAATAATAATAATAATAATTTAATAATACCCCTCCCATCTGGCTGGGTTTCCAGAATCTGGCAGCTTCCAACAGAACACTAAAATACAATAAACATTAAAAGCTTCCCTAAACAGGGCTGCCTTCTAAAAGTTTGGTAGTTATTTTTCTCTTTGACATCTAATGGGAGGGCGTTCCACAGGGCGGGTGTCACCACTGAGAAGGCCCTCTGCCTGGTTCCCTGTAACTTGGCTTCTTGTAGTGAGGAAACCGCCAGAAGGCCCTCGGCGCTGGACCTCAGTGTCCGGGCAGAACGATGGAGGTGGAGACGCTCCTTCAAGTATTCAGAACTTCAAGTGTTCAGAGCTTGGCCCTTCTTGTTCCTAGCCTAACAGTTTAACCACTGTACCATGGGGGGGGGGGGAGGATTTTGTGGTCCTCCATGTGGTGTTGGACTCCCAACTCTCGTTAGCCCCAGCCTGTGTGGTCATGGGTTATGGGAATTGTGTAGCCCAGCAATGTCCGAATGGCCACAAGTTCTTCATCTTTGCATTACACCATACTGGCTCTCCTGATAATAATAATAATAATAATAATAATTTATTATTTATACCCCGCCCATCTGGCTGGGTTTCCCCAGCCACTCTGGGCGGCTTCCAACTGAATATTAAAAACAGTACAGCATCAAACATTAAAAACTTCCCCAAAGAGGGCTGCCTTCAGATGACTTTTAAAAGTAAAATAGTTGTTTATTGCTTTGACATCTGCTGGGAGGGCGTTCCACAGGGCAGGAGCCACTACCGAGAAGGCCCTCTGCCTGGTTCCCTGTAACCTTACTTCTCGCAATGAGAGAACCGCCAGAAGGCCCTCGGCGCTGGATCTCAGTGTCCGGGCTGAACGATGGGGGTGGAGACGCTCCTTCAGATATACTGGACCGAGGCCGTTTAGGGCTTTAAAGGTCAGCACCAACACTTTGAATTGTGCTCGGAAACGTACTGGGAGCCAATGCAGATCTCTCAGAACTGGTGTTATGTGGTCCCGGCGGCCACTCCCAGTCACCAGTCTAGCGGCCGCATTCTGGATTAATTGCAGTTTCCGGGTCACCTTCAAAGGTAGCCCCACGTAGAGCGCGTTGCAGTAGTCCAAGCGGGAGATAACTAGAGCATGCACCACTCTGGCAAGACAGTCTGCGGGCAGGTAGGGTCTTAGCCTGCGTACCAGGTGGAGCTGGTAGACAGCTGCCCTGGACACAGAATTAACCTGTGCCTCCATGGACAGCTGTGAGTCCAAAATGACTCCCAGGCTGCGCACCTGGTCCTTCAGGGGCACAGTTACCCCATTCAGGACCAGGGAATCCCCCACACCCGCCCGCCCCCTGTCCCCCAAAAACAGTACTTCTGTCTTGTCAGGATTCAGCCTCAATCTGTTAGCCGCCATCCATCCTCCAACAGCCTCCAGGCACTCACACAGGACCTTCACCGCCTTCACTGGTTCTGATTTAAAGGAGAGGTAGAGCTGGGTGTCATCTGCATACTGATGAACACCCAGCCCAAACCCCCTGATGATCTCTCCCAGCGGCTTCATATAGATATTAAAAAGCATGGGGGAGAGGACGGAACCCTGAGGCACCCCACAAGTGAGAGCCCAGGGGTCTGAACACTCATCCCCCACCACCACTTTCTGGACACGGCCCAGGAGAAAGGAGCGGAACCACCGTATAACAGTGCCCCCAGCTCCCAGCCCCTCTAGACGGTCCAGAAGGATGTTATGGTCGATGGTGTCAAAGGCCGCTGAGAGATCCAGCAGAACTAGGAAACAGCTCTCACCTTTGTCCCTAGCCCGCCGGAGATCATCAACCAGTGCGACCAAGGCAGTTTCAGTCCCATGGTGAGGCCTGAATCCCGATTGGAAGGGATCCAAATGGTCCGCATCCTCCAGGCGTGCTTGGAGTTGTCTGGCAACCACCCGCTCAATCACCTTGCCCAAGAATGGTAAATTTGAGACTGGGCGATAGTTGGCCAAATTGGCTGGGTCTAAAGATGTTTTTTTAAGAAGCGGTTTAATGACCGCCTCTTTCAGCGGGTCTGGGAAGGCTCCCTCATAGAGGGAAGCATTCACCACCCCGCAGAGCCCATCGCCCAGCCCTTCCCGGCTCGCTTTTATCAGCCAGGATGGGCAAGGATCCAGGAGACAGGTGGTTACCTTCTTCCAAAATGTGACAGCCAACAGTTTGAGCAAGAGGAGGCCAAAGTAGAGAGCAGCCCGTGTATATATTAGTCTTTGGGGATTTACTGAATGAATGCAGATTTGCTTCTACTGTGCTCTGCCTGTTTTTGTATATAAAGATACAAGGATACTATAATATTACAAATGTAATAAAACAAAGACAAAGGGAAAAGACTTAAGGGATATGTGTGCTTCAACACTGAAGAGGACAAACTTCAAGAGAGAAGCCCCAGCAACAGATGATTAGATCTAAACTATGCCAGCCTATGGACTTCAAAGGGGCTTGCTGTAACTGCTGATCAGTGGATACAGCGATTCCCTTTTATTCGGTCATAATTTATTTATATGCTGCTTCTTCTACACAAAAAAATCATGCTCAAAGCAGTTTACAACAAGGGAAACAGTAACATTTCTCAAAATCAACAATCACAAGAACAATGCCGTAGTAGCATAATAAAACAACAACATAATAGCAAGTGTAACAACATTTTAAAAAAATTCAGTGCAATAAGTATAGTAAGATTACATTAACAACGTTAATCTTGCCGGCAATAGCAAAACAAGGGAGTTTGAGTTTTACCTTGGTCCTAGAAACACCTCTTTCATCATGTTGCTCACCTTTGAAGTTGTCTCCTATATCATAATGATGTCAGATGATAGATAGGTGGGTGATGGTGCCCAGATGTCAGAGCTGGTCCATGAAGGGTGGAGGAGATAACCCTTGCTGTAAAGAAAAGTGAAACATAGAACAGTGATGTACTTCGCATGACAATCTGATACATAATAGTAGGGGTGCAGACTTTCTGTACCTTTCAGACAGGACCAGGGCCCCATCAATATGAGACACAGATTGGAGGAAACCTGGAACCTATTATTATCTCTTTCTTAGTTCCCTCTTCTTTGAATATATTTAATTCAACACAGATTGGGTCTTTTTGTGTGTCACACCAATCCATCCCCAAAATTTCCCTTCTATTGAAGCTTCTGTGCTGGGTAGAGGGGAAAGCTTTGTTTGTGCTGTACAATCCCTGATGAAAATTGGATCATCTGTGCAGGCGAAAATGAGTCATGTGCCATTAGATAATGTCTGTCCACCTGTCAAACTTGGCCCATGGGGTGGATGTGGGAGATTAGGATCCAGTCTGCTGTCCGGATCCACCTCAGTTATATACCAAACTGTTACTTTAAATATTATATATACAGTGTATCCTGAACCAGAGCCAGCCCAAGACATTTTGGCACCTGAGATCCCAAAATGGTTCCAGGGAAGAAGGGTGAGGGAAGATCTACATCAGGAACAAGGTGTGGGAGAAGAAAGATCAGCATTGGGATCTTCTGCCCTAATGGCTCCTGCCACCTGAAGTAGTTGCCTCACCTTGCTTCATGGGTTAAATTTTCAGGTTACTGTTGTATATATGCATGGTGGTCTATAAAATTGGTGATATAAAATGGAAGGTAGGTGGTACAAAACCACTTTCCTATTTACCTGGTTAGATTCCTGGTTAGATGAAACAAAATGTTTGTGTGTGAACCATTGGTGCCTCAAACATACTTATTAAATTTATCGAGATTGTATTGGAGTATATATTGCAACTCTTGTGAGTCTGTTGAAAGAATGAGTGATTTACAATACAGTATTTACTTATTTGTTTATTGTTCTAAAAATAGGCATCACATTTTCATCTAATTGTAGACAACTGTGATTAGATGTGATGAAAATAATTTCTAAAAAATACTTCATACATTTGGTGAATTTCCAAAGTAGGATTATACTGTATTGTATCATAAAAATATCAGTTTTAGAGGATTGTTATCTGGCAAGATGAAAGCTAGTTTCTTTCTTTTGTCTTAGCCCTTTGTCTGCTTTTATTTTTAGCTCAGCTTCTGTGCTTGCGAGTGTGCAATTTAAACTTGCATCATACATAAAATGGATTTATGTAAAAGTGGGCAGTAATTGTTCTTCAAGCTCACTTCCCCCTCAGCTGGCCATCTTCCTAAAAGATGACTTTAAGTGTAACTGATGAGATTGTTTAATGTTCTCAAAATCTCAGGTAGAATTTTCACGATGTAAGCAGCCTCCAGAACGGCCCCTAGTTCAGCAAGAGCAAAATTATGTTTGACTTCAAAGAAGTATGGATAGAAATAAAGGGCTGTATCTAGCTTATTTATTGTTGAAGTAAACCATTGAAATGAATGGACCTAAGCAAATCATTAACAGTATTTTCGATAGGTCTATATTCTGAGTAGGAGTAACAGTGGCAAGTGTTTGTATTTATAGACTTGGGGAAATTTCTGGTAACTTGTAGTTACAAAATCTCATGCCCATATCAACCTTGAATTGGGCATGCTGCTGATGCGCCCAGTGCACTGCACTGGTCATTTTTTTTATAAGCCAGGGCCTCACATGCCTCA